GTTAATTTCGAAACTGAAGCAAACGTGGGAGAGAGAGTGTGGCCTGCCAAGGGTAACGTTGTCTTTCCATTTAATTTCATGGTTTTTTTGTCTTTTTGATTTGTTCAGTAATTTTTTTTTTTCGAGGGTAAGCTCAGAAGTATGTGTAGCGGTCAAAGGGTATAACGGATATATTGCCAATTGAAAGGCCCAGAATATCTTTTTGCTATTTTGCCCTTTATTACAAAATTCTGATAATGTTTCACCGTTTTTTCATTTATATTTGAAAAAAAAGTTTGACATATTTGAATTCAATGTCGTTTGATATTTATTTAGTATTTCAATCATAATTATTTTCAAAATACATGGTACTTACAACTATCGATTGATCGAATTCTGGATTTATACATTATTATAAAATGACAACTAATATTACAAACATCAAGTTTTAAAAATAATAACATATATTAGTTAAGATTAAGAATCATATATATATATATATATATATTATATTTTATTTGCTAATCTTTTAATCTATGAAAAATTATTGTAATATTTTTCAAACATGAGATTAATTTAAATCTCAATACAAAATATATAATTATAAAAGATATATTACTAACATTTCATCATTTTTATAATGTAAGCCTCTTCAACCCGATCCATTAATTATGTGTATTTTGGAAGTATACAATGTATACAAATAACATATGTATGCAATTTTTTTACATAGATAAAAGTTACACGCAAAATAGCATTCGCTCATGGGCCTTAGGGAATGAAGATATCTCGAGCCGATTCCAATAAATTAAGATTTTGGCATCTTTTGGCCCATTAATAAAACAATTGAATTTTATAAAGTTCTAAAATCCGAACGAAAAATTTCCAGTAATTTTAAGTTTTCAGTATTTATATTGATCGGTAAATTTTAAATTTATTTTTCCCACTTTACTGAAGAAATAGATTATTAGGCAGTGAATCAGAGCTAGGCCTATTTAGATTAATTGATTTGTGTATATTTAGATATGTTATTAAAGATATAGTCAGATATTGATATTATTAATAAGGAACGGATACAGCCTAAGGCCGGCTTTTTGTAAACATCTTTGATAAATTCATTAACCGTTTATAAAAAACGATATTGATATTATTAAAAAAGAAATTTTTATAAAAAAACTATATAAATATTTAAACTATAAAATTTTCATATAAATATCTAAACTTTTTTAAAAATCTTATATAAATACCTAGACTTTTGAAATTTTTTCAAATAAATAAAAAATTCAAGTATTTTTTAAATAAAAGTGGTCTATGTCATTAATGAATTTTGGATTTATTTGAAATTTTTTTCAGAAGTCCTAGTATTTATATAGAATTTTAGAAAAATTCAGGTATTTATATGAAAATTTTTATAGTTAAGGTATTTATATGGGATTTTTGTAAAAATTTAGGTATTTATATCAATTTTTTTTATTAAAAATATTATATATATATATATATGATATAAGAATATTTTTTAATTAAATTTTTTACTAGAATGTGTATATATTTTGATTCCATTTATTATTATTTTGTATTAGAATCTGATTTCTTCACTGATCCCCGTCATTATGTTTGAATTTTTTTTTTTATAATATGTGGTTTATGGGATTTGAACTCTGGTGGGGAGAGGCATTATGTTGGAGTTGCTTCTAGTTGTTTGCTCATCGAGTTGAGTCTAATAAAAAAACTAATTAACATATGATTTATTATATCTAATAATATTTGCAATAATATTCGGCTATATTTCTAATACATGTCGTATAAATTGAAGCATACATAAGTTATTCCTAATCATCCTTCAAGTCATCACTGATATGTTGTGATAAGAACAAAATTTTAGACTTCACCGCCAAAAGGTAAGGACGATGGAAACATTGACTGTTGTAGTAGTTATACTCATACTAAACGAATAGATGTATATTTGTAATAAAATATTTATGGAATAATATGATTATTCGTTTATTATTATATTTGTATTTTCATTAATAATTAATAAACATTATCCGTGTATTATTTTGAATAATATTATATGTCCTAGTCAGTTATTATCGTGGGAACGATAATAAAGGAAGACTAGTACTGTAACGTGTATGTATGACGTATTGGATACTTGATACAGTCACATGTGCACATTTAGAATGTGTGGTTGGCTGACCCACATGCTGGTCGGTTCATGGTCATGAATCAAAACCGACATCATTATAGATAGCTATTGGTATTCCTCGTAATTTGTTTCGTGTCTTGATATAGGCAAACATCTCCTTAACACAGTGGTTATAAAGGCTATGCTCAGATGCGCAACGGATTACGTGGTGGGTCGTAGCGTATCAAGATGGAAATTTGTCTCTCCTGATTACGGGATAGATATCGCTGGCCATTCAATGGTTAATCATGCTGTAAAGTGCTTGACCAAGCCATAGATATCGGAAATCTATATTAACAGATGAAAAAGCGGTCGAATTGGTTACGGTTGATTGACACCATGCCTTACGTTCAACTGGTATATATATCGCGAGACAAAGGGACATTAGTTCGATGATATTGTATGCACAATCGATGTGATAACTCGGTTTAACATGTGTAATTGATATGTCTTGCTAGAAGCCACTATCAACGTGTATGGTGAAATAGGATTTTATCGTTACGACCACGTTAAACGGGGTCTACCGGGTCACACATATAGGGTTATACCAGATTAATATATTTAATATATGTCGGTTATAGGATCGGGTATATTTTCCCGAGCCTATTTATTACTCGGTTATTTTATCAGTTTATATTCACGAGATTAGTCTCGGTGTACATGATACATTTTCAGAATACGAGATTCATTTCATATGACGTAATACATTCATTAAATAAGGTTCATATAAACTTGTTTAATGAAGATGAATCTCTCTTCGTATTCTGAAACCTATTAAATGAACTTGACTCTTCATTTGCATTGAGATTTCTATAAATTGACATCAGATGTCAGTTCATAAATCATAGGAAAACAACAAAAACCTAAAACCCGACAAAAGAAAAGTTTCCGAACTGGAATATGAAAAGTCTCGTATAGCCTAAATCGACGAATCCCGAGGGTACTAGCATGTCGACCCGACGTGTAGATACCGATAGAGGTGTTCTTTTTTGGACGTTCCTCTCTCGTTTCTGTGACATCTTCGACTCTCCAATTCTACGTTTTACATATTACGATGATCCGGTTAATTTAGGTTTAAATTCATGCAATTGTTGTATGTAAATATTCTGCTACATGTAAACTAGATAAAAATCGTAGGTACGATTAGATCGTTAGGCTCCTTGTTTTCCTTCATTGACAATTGAAGTTGACCGAATAGTACGAAACTGCATCTTGTCAACTCAACCTCCAAATCCTCATAATGGTAACCCGCTATTAGAAGACAAGATTTTCAAAATTAGAGAGTAGAGAGTTACAGTGATCTGATGACACTGATGGCACGTGAGAATAAAGGTGAACTGTAAAAAAAATAACACTAATAATAATTAAAACATTAAAAAAATTTTAATAACTGTTCGATTAACTGCGGTTATTCGGTTATTAAACGAGTCGAACCGAACCCGAACAATTATTGAACTTCTTCAACCGCTCGGTTATTCGGTTAATGATCGAAATAGTCACTCATACCTGATGTTATATGTTTTCTCGCTAATCATTTTGTTTCCACGCAAATATAGTTGGGGTTCTTGGCTAAGTGTGACAAAAAGGTGACATGTTTAGAAATCTATGCCTTTTTTTTCTATCCTTTGAATACTATATTTTTTTATAAATTTTTGATAAAATTACCCTTACTTTATTGTATAATTTCAATATTGTTATTTAGCGTCCCGAAAAATGTGCAGTATAAAAAGCAGATTTTTTTGGAAACTATGTAATCCGGGAGAGCTGTTTTTCATCCGGGAGAGTCTGTTTTTATCCGGGAGAACTGTTTTTTGTCCGAAAGAATTGTTTTCCGTCCGGGAGAGTCTGTTTTTTGTCCGGGAGAACTGTTTTTCATCTGGGAGAGTCTATATTTTGTCCGGGAGAACTGTTTTTCGTCCGGGAGAGTCTGTTTTTTGTCCGGGAGAATTTTTTTTGTCCAGGAGAACTGTTTTTGTTCGGGAGAGTTTGTTTTGTCCGGGAGAATCTTTTTTTTTATTCGGAAGAATTGTCTTTTGTCCGGGAAGACTGTTTTTTGTCCGAAAAAATCTTTTTTTCGTTCGGAAAAGTTTGTTTTTTTGTCCGGAAGAACTGTTTTTTTTTTCGAGAGAGTTGTTTTTCGTTCGGGAGTGTACGTTTTTAGTCCGGATGAAAAATAGTTCTCACATATAAAAAAAATTGTTTTTCATATAAAAAATATTTTTTCCCCGATGAAAACAATTCTCTCAAAAAAAATTATTCTCCCGGACGAAAATAAACTTTTTCGAATAAAAAGAATTCTTTCAGATAAAAAAAATCTTTTCCGAATGAAAAAACAATTCTTTCGGACGAGAAACAATCCTTCTTGACAAAAAAAAATTATTTTTTCGTATACAAAAACAGTTAAACCAAATAAAAACAGATTCTCACAGATATAAAATAATTATCCCAGATGAAAAAAACAGTTTTCCGAGATAACACAGTTTCTTAATAAAATATATTTTTTATGCTGTAATTTTTTTGAAATATTTAATGACAATATTGAAATTATACAAATAAGTAAGGATATTTTTACCAAAAAATTATAAAAATGTATAGTTTGTAAAGGAAAGAAAAAAAAGTATAGATTTCTAATGACGTGACATTTTTGGATACTGGTGCAAATTTCCTCAATATAGTTTTGTGTTTATCCGAAAAGATGAAATCCTTCTTTTGTAATTTAGATTAGGTTCGAAAGCCGGTTCACTTGTATATTTCTTTGTTTGTATATGAATTCACCATTTACCAATATATATATATATCGTATAAATTCCTTGGTATGTCACTTGACTCATCTTTAATGGCTAGTCTCTTGAACATTCCTTCGCAGGAAATAATAAAGGAGACACTTCTCGCAATGCCAAATAATAAAGCGCCGGGTCCGGACGGCTACACTAAAGAATTCTTCGTTAGTTCATGGGAAATCGTGGGAGCTGACCTAGTGGCAGCAGTTCAGAAATTTTTCCGAAGCCGCCAGTTATTGGGTCAAATTAATGCTACCACAATCGCCTTGATACCGAAACGTCCGGGAGCGGTTTCACTAACCGAATTTCGACCGATTAGCTGCTGCAACCTTGTCTACAAGCTCATCTCTTCTATCCTGGCTAAAAGGTTAAAACCACTGATACAACATGCAATATCGCCGAATCAAGCAGCTTTTATGAAGAAGAGGCTCATGATTGATAATATCTTACTGGCAACTGAACTAGTGCGGAACTACAACTGAAATTCTGGGCCAAAGGGAGCAGCGATTAAAATTGATATCAGAAAAGCATTCGACACCGTAAATCGGCTATTTATCCTAAGAATACTTGAGGCGCTCGGCATACCATTGGCGTTCATTAGTCTGATTAAGGCATGCATCACCACACCCCGGTTCTCGGTCTCAATCAATGGAGAGTTGGCAGGCTTCTTCGAAAGCCAACGAGGTCTCAGACAGGGAGACCCTTTATCTCCATACCTCTTCATCCTAGCTATCGAAGTCCTCTCAAAGTTGCTTGACAGAGCATCCTCCGAAGGAACACTAAAGTCACACTCCAAGTGTGGACGACCGAGAGTCACTCATCTGGCTTTTGCGGACGACGTGATTATATTCTCCAAAGCTGACACTGGCTCTCTGGCTGAGATCAAACAAATATTGAACGAGTTTGGGCATATATCAGGTCTAGACGTAAATGAGGCTAAGTCGGAAGTGTTTTTCAGTGGATTAACGGAGGCTGAAGTTTCCCCACTCCTACCCATATTGGGTTACAGGCACGGCACCTTCCCGATACGCTATCTAAGGGTGCCCCTCAGCCCATGCAAGCCAACAAAGCAAGACTTCCAGCCACTGCTTGAAAGGATTAAGGCGAAACTACAATCATGGACCACCAAGTTCCTCTCAAGGGCGGGCAAATTACTACTAATCAAATGTTATTTATGGACAGGTTGCAAATTGGAGTGCCACATTCCTTCTCCCCAAGTCAGTACTTACGACTATCAAGAGCCTCTGCGCGACTTTTCTTTGGGCGGGTTCTTCACATTCTGCTCGTAGATCACCCTCGAGGGTCGCTTGGGAGACGATTTGCAGGCCAAAGAAAGGAGGACTTGGCATCAGAACTCTAAAGGATCTGAACATGGTCCACCGGCTAAAGCTCGTATGGAGAACACTAAGTGACAGAGGCTCTTTATGGGCTAGATGGCTGAAGCAGAACGTATGGAAAAAAAAGAGCTATTGGACAACAACCGTGTCAAATCGGCTATCATGGAATCTCAGAAAGCTACTCTCAATCCGACAAGAAGTCAAATCATTTTTGCGCATGGAGCTCGGGGATGGAACAAACACTATGTTCTGGCATGATACTTGGTTAGTTGAGCGCCCTTTGCTTGATGTAACAGGAAATGCAGGTCCGCGTCTTATGCGCATTGGTCTGGATGCAACTGTGGCAGAGGCATGCCGAAGTGGACATTGGTCAGTCCCAGGAGCGCGGTCTGATGCGCTTGAATCGATTCTTATCCGTCTGACGACAGTGCAGGCACCTACCGCAGATCGGGGACCAGATATAGCTACTTGGAAGCACAAGCCCGGAGAATTTAAGAGGGAATTTTCGACTGCAAACACATGGGAGTTGATAAGGGAGCATTCAATCGAAGTAGATTGGTACCAAACCACTTGGTTTAAGCATGCGGTACCAAGATTCTCCTTCCTACTCTGAGAAATAATGCTATCAAGATTGCCAACAAAGGATCGCCTTAGCCGTTTGGGATTGCAAGTGGATCAGACCTACGTCTTGTGTTCAACGGAGCAAGAAACACATGACCACCTCTTCTTTTCTTGTTGTTTTAGTTCGCAGGTTTGGAGTCCAATGGCAAGCTTATGCCTACTCTCGCCACCATCAATTGTAGTCCAAGTTCCTACATGGTTGAGCAATACAACCAACTGCATGGTGAATCACAGAGCATTCTTGGCAAAACTGATTGTGCAAGCATCCGCCTATTACTTGTGGAAGGAGCGAAACCGAAGGATATTCACCGGAGAACGCAGATCGGCAGCCCACATCCGCCGCGAAGTCGACCGAAGCATTAGAAACACTCTACTACCTCTTTCCACGAGACCTTTTATTGCCCAATCACCCTTGTCCGATTGGTATCTCCTTACGGAAAGTATCCGATCACAACCCTCCGACAACAATGGCATAAATCAATAGGATAACTGTTTGTTTTGAAAATTGACATTTTGTCTTCTTTTGGAGCATGGTAATTTGCTGGGTCTTTTGTAAACATTATTTGATCAATTCATTAACTTTTTATCAAAAAAAAAAACTCTGCAGTAAATTGTCAAAACAACGTCTAGTAGAGATAAAGAATAAGACGAATGAATCACAGTGACGCCATCATTCCAAAAAGAAACATCACAAAGACTGAAGTAAACGATGGAGCATACTCGGGCTGGCCATAGGCAACAATCAATCAGACTTCAGAAAGTTACGATTCGATTGATTAACAACGGTGACTGCCTTGTCTTATTCACACAAATTCAGACTTAAGCAAGTTATATCCGAATCCCAACAGAGACAGATATATCACTAAAAGAAGATGGTAAAGCGGAGCAAATTCACCTAAAACCACGTTTAAAACTCTCCCAAAAAGCTCGCGGAAAGACTCATCTAACAATTTCAACAAATATTTCACCTAACGACTAATAATTAAAAAATATTAAATTGGTAGGGAAATTCCCCTGGTGGTTTCCTCAACAGGTGAGCATATACACGCAATAGATAAACCATTCAAAACTACAAACCTCACCTTCCCCGTAACATTGAAGCTTCATATCTTGTCTGTGGTACGTCATGCACCTAACTGGAAACTTCATACATAAAAATAAATAAAAATACCATTTCTTATTTGTAATCCCACATACCCGGTCACTCATTTACGCTTACAGTGTACCTCTTCACAATGTCGACCTACATTTCACAAAAGTAAATATGAGGCGCCACCAGAAAAAGAGATAATTCAACTTGCTATAAGTAAATAAAATATTTCATATACAATATTTCTATTTGTAATAATTTTCTGCAAATTTGAGTTGCGCTGGAGCAAGGAAAAATCAGAAAATGTAGAATCGCTACTACCTCATGTTTTCTTCTCACACCCCGTTTTGATGATAGTTCAGAGCACAACAGAAAGCAATGGCTATCAGTCTTAATTAATATTGATTAACGGTTCCAAAGCACAAACCTCTTTCCCCTGCAACTTCCTGGTAACAACAACGACTACCTTTATCTTATTCACACATATTCATCATATATATGTTACAACAAGGTAAAAGTATCAAACAAATGAATTGCTTGACAATGACGGTGATCAATTCAATTATAGCTTATTCACCATAATCCTTCACTTAGTTTTCCAAAAACTGGATTCGGTTACTAGTAGTGAATCAGCGCATATTCACTAAAGGATTAGAGATTTACCTGAAGGAGGAGAGCGTGTCAGGTCCTCTCGGAGTACTGGGTGTACTCATTAACAGAAATATCAATGAAAGTGATATGGCGGCGAGCCGCAAGTTTTACTAAAAGAAAATCCCTAGCTCTGAGTCACAGAAAAACTGAAAAAAAATACACAGACAACCACGAAAGGGTTAGCCACATGACCAGAAGAAAGATGCTAAGGGCAGCAAATCCCAATCTATGATTTTCCAAAAGAAAAGTCCAACTTGTCGCAGAACAGATCCTCACCTTATAAGAGCGTGTGATTCAACTTGCTATAAATAAATCGAATATTTCATATACAATAGTTCGATTATGACACGTTTCTAGCAACCCACTTCATGATGTCACAATAGGTGAGCATACGATTTTAATAAAAGGTTCAAAACCATAAACCTTTTCTCCCCTGCAACTTCTGGTTAAACTGATGCTTCAAAGGTTGTCTATGGTATATCATCCACCTAATTGGCAAAATTAAAGACAAGAGACTGCACAGATAAAGATGCAGACCGACAAAGTCATACCTAAAAACACCCCATTCTTATCTATAATCAGGCATACCTTCCCTCGTTCAGAGACCCGGACCGAAGCAGAAGCTCTGACTCTACAAAGCTCAAATTAAATCTGAAAACTTGAGCCTATGAAACAAAGTGTATAGTAGGAGCAAGGAACAATTAGGAAGTGTAGATTTGCTACCACCTTATGGTTTCTTCTCACATCCTGTTTTGATGATAGTGTGAGAGAGCAGCTGAAAGCAATGACTCTTAATGCATATACTTTCAGAAAATTACCAAAAGAACCCATATCTATGTTGTGTTGTAGGTATATCTTCCAGTAAACATATGCTTCTGAAGTCCAGAATTGTTGGTTTGCGCCAACTATACTTTCCTTTTTTAGAATGAATGACTTAATTTTGTAGGTATACTAGAATCACATGAGCACGTGTTTAAAAGAGTCACATGTACTAGTTAGCATCAGATGGTATATGATCTGTCGTATTTTTGAAACAGAAACAACATATGCTCAAACCACAAGATGGAAAGAGAAAAAACGTTGGAAAAAAAAATCTTGACGGAAACACATTGATAAGAATGTTAAGGGGATTGGAAACGGACCGATGAAACATGTCATATGGTAAGTCCACAAGCTCTAGCACTTCTTGATACATTTTCAAATTATCGACATCTCAATGTATCTTTATCCATTCTCCTGCACTAGTTCGTATAATGTCAAACGATTGACACCTTAGTGCAATCTAAATATAGTTTTCAAAAGTCTAAACAATAAGCATGAAAGATAGATGTAGTTTTTTTTTCAATTAAACATCAACCAAATAACTTCGGTGACCGTCTTCCACATGACGGAGGGAAAAATCAGATTTTACCTTTTCAAATGTGTTGCCTCTCTACAGAAGTATGCAGCCATAGACCTTGTCTGAGGTTCCCTCGGCTGTTTCCTCCTTCTCACGTACGTAACAATCCATTAGTGATGATGGTGTTAGACTCCCACATCGGTGGAAGAGAGGGATTTGACCCTCCTTATATAGTGGTCCCAAATCTTTCTCCCACCGATGTGGGACTCTAACAGATCACCCTTGCATAATGTGACACAACTAAAGCAAATATTATAAACTTAAGATCATCACAAATACATAAGAAATTTCATACCACTTTTGCATGAGCCGTGGAATATTGGTGTAGCAACTGCATTCCTAATGGTTCCTGGAACTTTTGCGATTGTCATAGACCTGACAAGGGCCAAATAAGAGAACTTCAAATATGCACAATAGTTCAAGATGTATTAAGAATTCATACTCATCTAGTTCAAGATGTATCAGTAGGTGAACATGTTCTATTGATAACCAGTTCCAAAGCAGAAAAATCTTTGCCCTGCAACTTCTAACATTGAAGCTCCATACCTTGTTTGTAAAACATCTCCTATAAAAAACTGGCACAAGTAAATGATAGACTCCATAGACGAAGATCTATTTTTTGTAGATAAACAACAAATAATGTAAAGGACCGGCATAAATCTAGAACTCACCAGGATATTCAGTTCGTAGATAGACAAAAGAAATATCCCATCTTCATTTTTCTTGTTAAGGCCTTTTTCAGAATACAAAACATCAACTCTGCAGTAAATTGTCATAACAATCTACATAGACCAATACCAACGTGTACTAGAGATAAAGAAAAAGACGAATGAATCACAGTGATGCAATCATGTTACTGGTTTCCACCGCATACGAAAGGGAAACATCAATCAGACTGACGTAATCGATGATGCTTACTCGAGGCTGACCATAGGCAACAACCAATCAGACTTAAGCAAGTTATGATTTATATGATTAACAACAGTGACTGCCTTATGTTATTCACACAAATTTAGACGTTTGATCAGAAATTACGACAAGGTAATAATATCTAAAGAGTGAAATGAGAGTAACAGTAATGACTTCAACACACAATCTCTACAAGATTAGAGATTTACCTGAAGGACGAGGGCGTGTTAGGTTCTCTTGAAGGGCACACTCAAACAGAAATTTCGAAGATTGTGATACGGCGGCGAGCATTGCTATAAGAAAAATCTGTAGAAGAAGAGAGATCACCTGAAGGAACTCTTTCCACACCTTAGAAAAGAATGCGATAAATTTCTGCACCATAATGTGACCGGCAATTCGTAAAAGAAAATCTCAGAGCTAATGAAGAGAAAACGAATATGTAATCAAATATTTCGTATAAAATAGTTCAATTTGTAATTCGTTTTTGGAAATTTTTTAAGATGCATACATTAAAGAAAAAAGCAGGAACAGCAGAACTGCTATTACCCCATGGTTTCTTCTAACACCATGTTATGACGAAGATGTGAGAGTGCAGCTGAAAGAAAATTAACATTAAAGAATATACTTCCATTAACCCACCAAAAGTACCAAAGGCCTTGTAGTTACAAAATCTATTGCAAGAGATATAACAAATAGCGTTAAAAATTTTGTTAATCTGCTTCAAGTCAAACCAATAATTGAGCATATACTGTTGATAAATGGTTCAACAGCACAAACCTTTTTTCCCCGGCAACTTCCTGGTAACGCTGCAGCTTCAAAGGTTGTATCTACTACATCATCCACCTAATTGGCGCAAGAGATGCAGATTTACAAAGTCATACTTAGACATCACCCATTCTTATCTATAGCGGGGCATTTCTGTTCTCGTCAGTCTATTCCATTTTTAAGAGACAAACCCAAGCAAAAGCTCTTACTTTATAAAGCTCAAATTCAGGATCATTTGTGTGATCCAAAAAGTTGTGACAACTCTCTAGTAGCATTGAATGTTCGGTGACCGTCTTCCACATGATAGAAAGAAAAAGTTACATTACCTTTTCAAAAGTGTTGCCTCCCTAGAAAAGTACTCAGCCATAGGCTTTGTTGGAAGTTCCCTCGGTGGTTTCCTCCCTCTCATTTACGTAAGAAACCATTAGTTATGGGTACTTACATAATTTGACACAACTAAAGCACATCGATTGTAAACTTTAAATGAGAAACATCACCCAGACTGAAGTAAACAATGAAACATACGCCATGATAATAATTTCAAATCATTCACTTAGTTTTCCAATAAACTGATTCGGTTACTAATTCAACAACACACATTCCCTAGTAGATTAGAGATTCACCTGAGGAGAACGTGTGAGGTCCACATGGAATATTAGGCATACCTGAGTCACAAAACAAACAGGAAAATTACACAGAAGACCACGAAAGGATTAGCCAGATCCATGACAAGAAGAAGATGGAAAAAGAAGCAAACCCCTCAATTCATGAATTGCCAAACGTGTCAAAGATCAGATCTATAACCAGAAGAAGATGGAAATTTTTTAAGATCCGTAGGAGCAAGGAAAAATCTGGAAACGTAGAGACGCTATTACCACATGTTTTCTTCCAACACTGTGTTTTGATGATTGTGTGAGAGTACAGGTGAAAGTAACGAGTATCGTCGACTCACAACTAACATTATAGAAGATACCTCCATTAACTCACTAAAAGTACCTAAGGCCTTGTAGAAACAAAATCGATTGACAGAGATATAGCAAATGGCATTAAAAACTCTGTTAATCAACTTCAAGATGCATCAATAGTCGAAGTATGCCATTGACAAACGGCTGAAAAGCAAACCTTTTATCCCCAACAACTTCCTGGCGATGTTGAAGCTCCAAAGGTCGTCTGTACTACATCAGCCACCTAATTGGCACAAGAGACTCCGCAGATTTACAAAGTCATACTAAAACATCAACCATTCTTGTTCTCGCTAGTCTATTCCATTGCTAAGAGACAAGCCCAAACAAAAGCTCTTACTTTATAAAGCTCAAAAGTGTTGCCTCCCTAGAAACGTACATTGAAGATTCGGTGACATCTACATGGTAACATTGAAGATTCGGTGACCATCTTCCACATGATAAAAAGAAAAAATCAGATTACCTTTTCAAAAGTGTTGCCTCCCTAGAAACGTACGCAGCCATAAGCTTTGTTGGAAGTTCCCCTGGTGGTTTCCTCCCTCTCTTCTACGTAAGAAAACATTAGTTATGGATACCTACATAATTTGACACAACTAACGCACATCGATTGTAAACTTTAAATGAGAACAAATATATATAAACTTATTATCTGAGCATGAGTTGTGGAGTATTGGTGTAGCAGCTGCAGCCCTAACGGTTCCAGTAGTTTTTCTGATTGTCATAGACCTGATACGGGACAACATAAAGGAACTTCATATCTGCATGAGTTTTTGCACGATCAAGGAAAGCTTTTTGATCCTCTGCGTCAGATGCCCTGTCACAGTAGATACTAAAAATATTGGTTGCGAAAGAGATTGGAAACAGCATTAAAAATTCTGCTAATTCAGTTCAAGATGTATCAGTAGGTGAGTACGTGCTATTGATAACTGGTTCCAAAGCACAAAACTCTTTCGTCGACAGTT